TGATGATCTCATTGAAGAGTGTTTGTCTACAGAATCGTTTGGCGTTGCAATTTCAACTTCCAAGGTAAACAAAGATAAAGAAACGTTGAAGACGATGCAAACAACCTCAAGAAGAATTGGAGTAGTAATGTATTGAACTGGTCTTCATCGTAAATTGGAATACCAGACATCACATTTAACTAATTCAAAGGTTGAATTTTGTGCATGAGAAAATTATGGAGAATTCAAATATTATAAGCTGACTCGAAATGGGATTCGATAGGAGGTTCCTAGAAAAACCTAAACCAAGAAATCTAAGGACTTGATACCTTCCTGATTTCTCGGAGTTGATTATCCAAATGAACCGTAAAAATTCAGACAAGTGTTTGACGCGTTTAGTGAAGTCAATGAATTGAGCCTGAATGAATACATATGATAAACTTTGGAGTCATATGTTTTTCTATTCGTACACAATTTGTCAAGAATTTTAATGCAACCACACTTCAAGCTTCTTGAGTCGTCACGAATATAATAATTCAATAATTTCATATCGACGATTATCTATATTCAATGGATACTGACGAATAAATTTTATGAAAAATAAATGGTTGGCAAAGAGTAAACGGATTTGGTATATTTCAAGTGATGAAATTAACAAAAAAGTGTTTTCCAGAAATAGGAAGAGGATTTTTTCAAAAGAAATACAGATTTTCTCAAATAAGTTTTATTCAATAGAATTTTTGCAGGTTTTGAAATATTGTTTTCAAAACGTTAGCCACATTAGAAAAGATGAGTATGAATTTTTTTTTCAATTATTGCCCTTATTCACGTGCACAATTCATGAATACAAGTTACCAACTGATTGGACTCTCCAAAGTTTTATATTGCGCAGTACTTTTCCGAGGTGATCTTTTCAGTATGTATTACAATTTAGCATATCCTCTGTTGATTCATATCCATACATTTTTCATATTGTGGAAGGTTAGGAACCCAAAAAATATTTCCTCTATGAGAAATAATATCTTTGAATTGATTTTCTCAAAGATATTTGAATATTGCAATTTGCAGTTTTTTTTTCAATGACAAAACACAAGCACTAAAGAAAAACCTGGAAGCGCTCTTAAAGCAGTGCCTTTACGATAGTAGTGATTGACAATGGATTTGAATCGCCAGAAATCAAATCCGTTTGGAAAAACGTTCATTCCACATAAACGCCGTTCTCCAAATGAAAGAGTTCTCATACAGGGAACTTTGAGGTGAACTGAGTTGAGCCTGAAAACGATCAGCAGCCACACTCCATCGCGTNTTCTGACAAAATGGTGCTGAACATCAAAATGTTTGGTTCTAGCGTGATGAGAAGCATTTTTAACAGATATATTGCACTCTTGTTATCACAATATATGGTGATTGGATACTTTGTCTCCGTTAGTTGAATTTTTCCAATAATTTGATGCAACCACTGAGCTTCTTGTGTTTCTTGAGAGAGCGCAACGTACTCCACTTCAGTTGTAGATCTTACAACGGTTTGTTGTTTTTTACTCAACCAGCTGATCACGACATTTGCGAATTTGAAAATATATCCAAAGGTTGATTTTCTATCATCTCTGTCATCTGCATCGGAATAATCATGTATTCTACTATCTTTACTGCTCGAATAAATGAGTTTCATATTTTTCGTACCTTGAAGATATCTAAAAAAAATTTCGACAGCTGTCCAATGTTCTGATCCGCACCACTGCACCACTGCAAATGCTATATCAGGTCTAGTAGATTGAGCAGCATATAATAAACTTCCAATAGCCATCTGGTATGGCACATTTTTCATCATCTCCTTTTCTGCAAAATTTGAAAGACACATGAACAGGCTGAGTTGTCAACTTCTAAAAGGGTTGAAACTGGTTTGCAATCTCTCATTTATGCAAAAGCTTGATATAAACTTCCTGATCCAAAAATATTTGCCAAGACTCTCTGTTTCTTGTGATATGAATACCCAGATAGTACCTAACTGAATTCATAAAAATCCTCCATTTCAAACTTTTTGGTAAATTTTCATTTTGAGGGCACCCGGCGATTTTGAAAAAATCCTTCAAAGTTCTTGCGAATTTTGATGTTTAGCCTTCTTTTTCACGAAATGAACTATTCAAAAATACAAGCATTTATTCACTAGGCACCTTTACACCTTATTTCTCCTCAATTGACACTTTTCAACAATCTATCAGTTATCAGATTTGGCATAAAATGACTTTCAGTGGAGTCCAACCCAAAATGATTCGTGAATATTTTTGTCATCTTGCATACTTCACCAGAATGCAAGACAAAGTGAATAACACTTTGTCATAGTAGGCGTTGTATCAACCCACACTGGAAATATAATGACCTGTCATACAATGAGATGAATAACTTTAATAACATTATGCCACTCACAAGAGATAACCTCAGTGAAGAACAGTATCCACAGCAAGTATCAGCACAAACAAGTTTGGTGATTGGAACTCTCATAGAAGAACAAAGTTTTTGATATCATTCTGCTGCCTCATTATAGTAAAACAGACTCGAGAGTAGTTGTATCAACTAATGATCCAAAAAATAATGCATATCCACAAAGGGTTGTATCCCAAATCATCTGCTCTTGGTAATATTCTCACTATCAATAAAGAGGCCAAGGCTTCTCGAAACTGAAGTATCTCCATAACAGAATATATTGAGACTCTAAAGTTTTTTTGAGTTCATATTCCTTTCTTTTTATGTTCCGCGACTATAAGAGCAGGATTTAAATTTTTTTTTCTCGAACGGCCGAGTTGGAAATCGTTTAGCAAAAGAATCATACGAAATGCTGCTGCTACATGAGAATGAATCGATGCATACGGTCCTGTTTAATAACATTGAAAACTTTGATTTGTCATAGCATCTGACATTTGCATTCTTTTTGCTTCCTCTGACCTGTCAAGTGATCTGAAGTGAGAAACTTGGTGGTTTATTCTAGCAGTATGTCTCCAATATGTTAGTCTACTATATCACGTGGTGGGTATAGTAGTGTAGGGCCTTTCGCATCGCAATTGAGATCTTCATGCCTTTGAATCATGTTCAGCATGTGATATCCATCAACATTATGCGACCCTAAGAGTTCTCTATTATCACTTTCGGTATTCCTACGCTATAGACGAGACACCGGTATAATACTATGCTTCGGGAGATACTGAGTTTGTTGTAGAGAATGATATGAGTCAAGTTTTTAAATCTATTTATTTCCAGCCGTCAGACGAATACAAGCTAATATGCCCTGATATAGTTCTCTTCGGATCTTTGGACCGGCGTGATCTTTCAGAAAAAGAAAACAATAATTATACCAACTCTGGCAGATATTTTGTTGGACCACATATAACAAAAAATATTATTAACAATTAACAATGCGGTATTATGCCTCTTCTTTCTATTCAAAAAAATACGTATCCTCAGAATAATAGTATGTGTGATTGATGATTTGTTTACTTTATGGTAATTCATGATCACTTAAATGAAATGAATAAAAACACTTTCGTCTAAATACCACTAGTAGATTTCATTTATAAGACCGGTTTCGGTTTCGGCAGTATTATACTTAATAATGGGGTCAAACCCGAAACCGGTCGTATAAATAAATTATACCAGTGGACAAAAGTGTTTTTATTCATTTCATTTAAGTGCTCAGAGTAATATATGTTTGTGAAGATTCCGAAAGATAAACGTTGATTAAACTCGCTAGGGCTGGTACTAAAGTGCCACCAAGATTCAGCCAAAGCCTCGGTAGATAGTAGCATTATCCTGAAATGGATTGAAGGGCCTAGGAAGCAACTGGACTAAGAATTTTAGGAACCAGTGGCACCTACAGCCTGAAGACAAATTCGGAACTAATCAAACGTCACACCCATGCTAAATCTCTGAAGAGGTGGGATGAAATCAAGAGATGCAAGTTTGCCAGGATCACCCTTGGCGACATTGGGAAGCTGGCGCTGAAGAAATATCTGCCAATGACCAGGAAAAATCTACGCTTAACAGTAGGATTTCTGACTGGCCACTGTCAATTGAGAAAAATTTTCCACAATATGGGGCAAGTGGACATACCTCTATGCAGCATGTGTGAACAGGAAGATGAAGCTGTCAGGCATGTCCTATGCGAATGTCCGGAGTTATCGTTAATAAAAGAGTGTGTTCGGCGAGTCTTGGCTTATATATCCCAGAGACCTTTTCACCTTCCTGAAAAAAACAGGATGGATGATGACCTAAAAGGACAACTTCTTCGGAGGAAGTACAATGGGTCACACGTGGCCTTAGTGCTGTGGGTCTACACTCACCCTCCGTACTCTACAGATACAGAGAGAAACTCGCAATGATCCCAAAATAAGTCACTCAATTGAATTTGAAACATGTCTGGAAGGGTTTGTTTACGATAATATCCAAATAACATGAATAATGAGCAGATAGAGAAAATCTAAGTAACATTCATTTACTAGAAATGTCAACCACTACGAAGAAAACTACTTTTCATTTGAGATTTCCAAATTTATTTGACAAGTTATATAATTAACACATACTAGTCAGCATGCAACCTTTTTTTTGTCAGTATCCAAGGTGTTCATTTCTAGACTATAACATAATTCAAACTAAGTTGCATACGCATTGTATATTTGATTCATTCTATTGAGTATGATATGGAAATATTTTCTAGTATTACTCTAAGATATTCTGAAAGTTCAACACTATCAACAACATTAATGTCACAATTGTCTATGTGTTTGATATATCTATGTCACCCTTCTTTCTATAGGCTACACGATGTAATTATTCTATTTGAAACCTATGCGTCAGGTATTTTTCAGATGATGATTCCATCAATATATAATAAATCGACAATACATCAGGTCGAATCATTATTTTCCAAAAATATTTTCAAACTAAATATGAATAATATATTAGTTACATTGATGCACAAGAGGTGGTGGCTGTTTCAATTTCGAAGTGTAAATAGTGACTTTTTATTGAAGGGCGCCCTGGATCAGCTCAAAATATTTCGGGATCCGAACATGGCTGGAGAACAATGCAAAACTGATTTTAAGGTTTGTATGCTTTGTTTCCNCAAACTTCAACTATTTCATTCCAAACGTTACAGAATTCACCTAAAGCTCTGTTTACATCAACTTTTTCACCTAAAACTTCACCCCAGTTAGCTTTCCTAATACGATGAGTCATAACTTCAAAATCAGATTTTCATAATTATATAGTAATACTTTTCAACAGACTCATTTTCGAATTCATTATCAATTGATATACTGAAGGCAAGATGATACATATCTTCATCAACTAGAAGTAATTCGTCCCTGCTCACTTTGCACCTATTTGTGTTACTTTCTGAACTGATTACCATATCTAATGTTCTGTTCTGGAAGTTTCTTACATCATTGAATAATCCAAAACTACTAAATTGCATGAAATCATGAAAACTAGATAGTATACTATTTGAAATACTATAGTCATAATTTATAGAGCTGATATTAAAATCTTCAATTCTGGAAGTGTTATTCATCTCCGATATATTATGAATATTACTGGAGTTTTTTCCCAACACCAAGCAGATTCGAAATGGAAACTAAAGAAAAGTCAAAGTATTTTCCTAGGATTTGGCTAAGTTATGTGGATGATATTTTCGCGGTATTCGATACCAAAGGGAATATATTTAAAATTACTGGGTGTTTTCATACGGGTACCAAATCCCAGATCCTGAATACTTTGTATCACTAATATATCCAAGAATAATAACTGCTCGTTATTTGCTTTTGCAATTCCATATGTGAACTCAATATTAGAGGACTTGTTCTTCATATCAGTATCCTCACGCCCGAGGAGTAGATAAAACTCATTCCACGACATAAAGCCGTAATTTTTTCTTATAATATCATCCAGATTTGGTACAGAAGAACTGATAAGGCAAATATTTTACGGCGAAACATCGGATGTCTACCAGTGAGGATGACAGTGTTCTTTGTAAGTGTAATTTCGCCTCTTCCATTAGGTATATTATGTAGAAATCCTGTGAATGATATCTGATTCAATTCCATAACGTATGTTCATAATTCAGTATAGTTCATACAAAAGTATTTTTATCGAATGTGATTCAATATTAAAATGGAAGTACTTGTTTTGAGGGGCTTTTTTTCCAGTTTGTGTCTGAAAGTCACTTCTTGCATGATTAACACATCTTTGTAGAGAATCACTTTTTTGAAATTGATTGCTTTCTCCCTTTCTTTGAAAGAATTCCACATTTCTTTGTACGAAGAATTTTTTCAGCTTTAGGTTGACGTTGTTGAAAATTCATTAAGGTAGTAAATGAATGTCTTTTCGAATTTTGAGTATTCAGACAGAGCCTCACTCAATTGCTGCCTGTTTCCTCTCGTTGAATAATCTATTTTCTTTCTGCCAACTGTAGCACCTCCTGAACCACTCAGTGCTGATGAACTAACAAAAATTGGTAAATTCGGACAAATTCAACTGATTTTTGGAATTGGTATAATTCGCGGCGTGTGATTTTTTCCACCTGCGGCCTTTATCTGGCTTTTGCTATTTCTGACGCGCTGCAATCGTGTGTCGTAAATACAATTCATCGGCGCGACTGCTGAAGAGGACTTTTCTGTTATCATATCAGTTATCAGATTTGGCATAAAATGACTTTCAGTGGAGTCCAACCCAAAATGATTCGTGAATATTTTTGTCATCTTGCATACTTCACCAGAATTTACATTGAATAACACTTTGTCATAGTAGACGTTGTATCAACCCACACTGGAANGACAAAAGTGTTTTTATTCATTTCATTTAAGTGCTCAGAGTAATATATGTTTGTGAAGATTCCGAAAGATAAACGTTGATTAAACTCGCTAGGGCTGGTACTAAAGTGCCACCAAGATTCAGCCAAAGCCTCGGTAGATAGTAGCATTATCCTGAAATGGATTGAAGGGCCTAGGAAGCAACTGGACTAAGAATTTTAGGAACCAGTGGCACCTACAGCCTGAAGACAAATTCGGAACTAATCAAACGTCACACCCATGCTAAATCTCTGAAGAGGTGGGATGAAATCAAGAGATGCAAGTTTGCCAGGATCACCCTTGGCGACATTGGGAAGCTGGCGCTGAAGAAATATCTGCCAATGACCAGGAAAAATCTACGCTTAACAGTAGGATTTCTGACTGGCCACTGTCAATTGAGAAAAATTTTCCACAATATGGGGCAAGTGGACATACCTCTATGCAGCATGTGTGAACAGGAAGATGAAGCTGTCAGGCATGTCCTATGCGAATGTCCGGAGTTATCGTTAATAAAAGAGTGTGTTCGGCGAGTCTTGGCTTATATATCCCAGAGACCTTTTCACCTTCCTGAAAAAAACAGGATGGATGATGACCTAAAAGGACAACTTCTTCGGAGGAAGTACAATGGGTCACACGTGGCCTTAGTGCTGTGGGTCTACACTCACCCTCCGTACTCTACAGATACAGAGAGAAACTCGCAATGATCCCAAAATAAGTCACTCAATTGAATTTGAAACATGTCTGGAAGGGTTTGTTTACGATAATATCCAAATAACATGAATAATGAGCAGATAGAGAAAATCTAAGTAACATTCATTTACTAGAAATGTCAACCACTACGAAGAAAACTACTTTTCATTTGAGATTTTCAAATTTATTTGACAAGTTATATAATTAACACATACTAGTCAGCATGCAACCTTTTTTTTGTCAGTATCCAAGGTGTTCATTTCTAGACTATAACATAATTCAAACTAAGTTGCATACGCATTGTATATTTGATTTTTTCTATTGAGTATGACATGGAAATATTTTCTAGTATTACTCTAAGATATTCTGAAAGTTCAACACTATTAACAACATTAATGTCACAATTGTCTATGTGTTTGATATATCTATGTCACCCTTCTTTCTATAGGCTACACGATGTAATTATTCTATTTGAAACCTATGCGTCAGGTATTTTTCAGATGATGATTCCATCAATATATAATAAATCGACAATACATCAGGTCGAATCATTATTTTCCAAAAATATTTTCAAACTAAATATGAATAATATATTAGTTACATTGATGCACAAGAGGTGGTGGCTGTTTCAATTTCGAAGTGTAAATAGTGACTTTTTATTGAAGGGCGCCCTGGATCAGCTCAAAATATTTCGGGATCCGAACATGGCTGGAGAACAATGCAAAACTGATTTTAAGGTTTGTATGCTTTGTTTTCCCCAATGTAATTGCTGAAATTTCGAAAGATTTGTGTTTTGGTAAAATACAGGAAGATCCATATTCTGGTTTGTTATTCGGGAAATTTCTCTTACTAATGATTTTCATACAATACAAAGAATTGATTGAAAAAAGTCATTCGAAATTGGTCTAATGATATCAAGTTTCAGAAATGTAACATTATTCATGTCGATATTGTGTCTGGTGACTTCTTCACTAACTTTTGGGTACCAAATGATATGAGAAAAGTAACATGACTACAGTATATCTTGAAACATGTAGATTTTTTTTAGGTTTTTGAAGACGAGGACGAGATTGACAACGAAATAGTAAGTAATTGGGAAAAATAATACAATAATCAAATAACAACTGCATGGGGATCTGTTACTAAACAACTAACTTTCCATTGCGCATCTATATGAATACATCCATAATATATATATATATA